AAGTTTAAAGTCTAATTCTCTTTGTATCCTGTTTTTGTGGGTTTTCTACTGTGGTTAATTGAAATGAAATTGTTATTCTTTTTACATGTAAGGGACTTCAGTATGTTGGATCACTAAAAAAGAACTTTAAAAAATGCAAATGTTTTTACATTTTGAAACCCCCTTTTCTTGAGCATGCTTAACGAGCTTGGTGGAGAACAATTGTCCAAATTTTCATGAGAGCAAAAAGCTTTTATGCACAAATATTGTCCAAAGTGGTGGAGAACAATTGTCCAAATTTTCATGAGAGCAAAAAGCTTTTATGCACAAATATTGTCCAAAGTTGTAGCATGTTCTAAAAAATTGCAATGAGCTCATCTTTTTGTTCTCACATGATTCTTCAGAAGCAATTTCATTGTGAGTTGTTTGCTTTTCAGCATGAATCAGCCACAAGAAGTGTGGAGAAAACTGTTTGGGAGGAAATTCGCAACTTCAAGAAGTGTCTGATTATTATGTTTGCAAAGCAAGAGAAAGATGTGGTTTTTCTTGAAACAGTTGTGGGCTTGGCAAAACAACGTCGCCATTGCTTGATTGAGTGCATTCCTTTGCCTCAAGGAATAGCAAAAGAGGCCCCTCTATATTTTAAGAAGGTGAGAATGTCTTTCTTTTGTTCGTTCCCCCAATTCAGCATCCTTCCAATTTATTATTATTGTTCTTTTTGCTTTCCTTATAGACGTGCATTCAATATATCGGAAGTGTTGCATCATATTTTTAACATTGCTTCTTAACCTGTGCTGTGCACATTCAAACATCATATTGGATTAAAATATAACATTGTTTGATAACTTCTTATCCTGTGCATAAGATGAACGAAATTGCAAGAACGGATGAGAGAATGAAGAAAAATTTAAGAGGAAACACTATTAAAAACTGAATATTTTTTTCTCTATTTGTTATTATTTGATTTTACTTCTAGATTTTGTTATCATCTTTTATGGGATATGATGCTCTTGGAACGCCTATGTTTGTTTTTAGCTCACTCATGGCTCGTTCAACATGGATTTCGCGTTTAGGATCCTTCACATTTCTCTTCATGGTGGTTACACTATCTACTTAATGATTTGAATGATTAACGATTCTGTTTGGCTTTTCTGTCTGTGAATGAGTTGAAGATGTCATGGCCTAAGCAGTCAATAGAACTGCAAATCTCCCTGTGTTTGTGTCCTTAAAAAATGCCCACTAGCTTTGAAATTGGATTAAACAAATATTTTTGTGAGGTTAATTCACGCAAGTAACACACTCGTGGTTTTGATTTCCATGACTTCAAAGAGTTATCAGCTCAGAATAAAATTTTCATGAAATGGGTTGTAGTTAACTAGGGAGAAAAGATTACTAGTCATGTAATTAGAATCTCCATGGTCCACCATCCAAGATCCCCTCTCCTTTTAGGGCATCCGTTTTCTCGACTCTTTGAAATTTGAAAATCCTAGAAAAGGTGAAGTTCTTCGATTGGAGATGTTGACCTCTGGTCTACTTCAACCCAGTAACAGTGCCTTGGTTTGTCCTTCCGAAACTGAGGATAACGATGAGGTCATACATTAACAAGAGCTACCCCAGGCAGCAACTCAATGCCATGGTCTCTCTCCCTTACTACTAGTTGCAAGCCAAGGCATTGCTGAAAAACAGATTCAGGTCATGGAGGTCGATTATAATAGCTCTACATACTATCCCAAAGGTTGTCACTGTTATAGTATATGTGAAGATTGGAGCGTATTAGTCTTTTGTCCTTTATTGTAATTTTACTATTCTTAGTTTAGGGCTTCCATGTATGTTCTATCTATATTGAACTCAATGTATTGAAATCTATTGTTCTAGATTTTGGTCTCACAGTAATATGGTATTAGAGAGCTAGGTTTTTCCGAAGGCAATTAGGGTATTGTGAACCTTAGGTTTGGGGTTTAGAGCGTGCTTTCCCATCTGCACTGAAACCTACTGCTGCCGCTGCAAGTTCGGTCAGAATTTTTCATCCTTTTTTGTCACCACCTAGCCCTAGAGGAAGCCTATCTTCCAATTTGGAGAATCCATATTGACCAGCAAAGCAGCCGGAATTCTGCATTCCAGCCTGGTGGGATGAGAAGTCTTCATTTTCGCTTGTTGTTGAGTTGGTTTAACCTCGCGTGATAACCCTGTTTGCTTAGCTTCTCGACCCATAAACGTAGTCTTCACTTCTCATTTCTTTGAAACATGTACGAGCACGGTTCATTTTCGCTTGTTGTTGAGTTGGTTTAACCTATGCGAAATAACTGTTTGTTTCTTAGTGTCTCGACCCATAAAACATAGTCTTCACTTCTTAGTTTTTTGAGAACTTGAATGAGCACGGTTCATTTAGGAGAAGATTGAAGGATGTTTCAAGCCATACCAACGATTTCCATGTAATGTACAAACTGTAAGGAAGAGATATGTCCACTTTCTTTTCTTCTTGCTCTACTGCCTCTATAGTGGTCATCGATAGCTAAGGAGAAGGTTTTCCGGTCGGTAGTAACTACTTTTTTGAGTAGTTCCAGTTGGGTTGTGGCTTTGTGGTTGTCATTGGTTGGGCAAAGGAGTGGAGGAGGGTTAACGAACATGTGTAATGGTGCCGGGTGTTGTGGGAGGGGAAGTGTGAGTGAACAAGGGTAGAGAGAAAGCATGGGTTTTGGCTTCCTTGCAAACAGACTTCGGTAAACCTGGAACCTCATTTTTTTTATTCTTGTCATAGTGATTCAATTGTTTAAAGCTTCCAACACTTGTCACTTCCTGGCTTTTTATGCGTTAAATTCAGAAAACAGTTATCTTAATTTGTTTCTTTGCTTCCAACAATAATAATCTCAACAAGTTCATTTCAGGCTATCGATGAAGCAGAGGAAGAGTGGAGCCAGCACAATGCAAAAAAACTGATAGATACAAGTGTGAAGGGATTGCGTGGATCAATCCCAGAGAACTTTCCGTACTTCCACGTAGAATTCGGGTTAAACAAGGGGTTTGTGCATGTGATAGATGACGAGGACAATTTCAAGACCAGCTTTGGCCTCAATGTGATCAGAGGCATGTTACAGCTAGCTGAGGAAGATATGCATCGGGGACGTAGATACGAATCTGTTGAGGTGCAAAAGCAGGCTGTGGCGAACTTCTTACAGGATTGGGAGCCTTTTGACTGGACAAAACAACTATGAATAGTGTGTACAGTAATCTTATTTGTTTGTTGCTTTGCTACTGTGTTTAACTTCAAATATTTGATCAAGTGTTAATGATAGGTCTCCAAACACTGTTATACAGTGAAATATGCCGCAGGATCTCAACCAAAACAGGAGTTCAATGAAAGGGAAAAACAAGGATAATCTCCAGCCCGATCCGAGAGCGCTACCCTTATTGTTCGTCGATCTGAGGATGAAAAGTTATGCAATGATTGTGCTGATTGCCAAAGCTAACTTTAAACATTTCATCCCAAATGTGGCTCACGAAGTTCTTATCTCTACGGGAGACGATTGATCTAGGAAAACTACGAAGACCCACATCTCCTTGATGAAAACATTCAGTGTCTTTGATTGAGAAGAGATGACACACCGTAATAAAATGACTACTTAATCTTCCAATGGATATGATTTTCGTATATCCAAAAATCATTTTATGAATGATTTAATTGAAAGTTCAATGGGTATATATACAGCTACTTTGATAGTGATACATTTCAAAATGTAGGTTTGTATGCATCATACTATGCAATCGTGACGTTGATTTCAGTGTAGGTATAATATATATATGTGGTACCTAATAAGCTCTCTCCCCCGCTTCGAGCGACAGTTAATGAAGACTTGAAAAAGAAATCTAAAATGCGGTGAGTAAAAAAGTGCTCGGTAAGCACAGCTTGTAGGCCCTCATCGTAGGATAGGTTTTCATGGGCTTTTCTCTAGGCTTTAGGAAGTTTAGGCTTAACTCTATAGTTTGGCTAACCTTTTGGGGAGACTTCCAACGATGTCGTGGTGTAGTTGGTTATCACGTTAGTTTAACACACTGAATGCCTCCCGTTGGTAACGCCATTTTTATTTTTATTTTTATAATCTGATTTCATTTTAGACCTCTACGAGAAAGTTTAAGAGCCTGTAGGAACGCCATTTTTGACATTTTTATTTTTATTTTTATATTTATAATCTGGATTCATTTTAGACCTCTACGAGAAAGTTTAAAAGTCATAGAGCCTGTAGGAATCAACAAGGACTAGGGTGGAATGATTACGCTTGATTTAACCAAGAAATTTATGAACTAAACTTAGTATCAGAGGTCTAGGTTGGACTGTTTTCGCTAAACCAAGAGTCATTGAGTCTTTCGTTACGTGACTTTCGAGGCTCCAAATCCCAAACCGTCAAGAAAATGACGAAAAGAAAGGAAAATAAAAATAAAAGTAAAATTAAATTAAACATTCACATAATGCATGTAATTTAAAATCAAACAACACCTCAACTAGGACAAATTGAAAGGCAATGCAAACATGTATTGTTAAAGGTTTGTTACAAACGGAGAAAGGGTTTGGAATACTGTTTCGAACGAAATATAAAAGACCAAAGTACACAGACTGGGTCGACACTCTTAAATGACCCTCAAGTGACAATGTAGCTCTCAAACGCCCCCCC